CTATATATATGTATATATAGTCGACAAGCCAATATATATATACATATATATTGGCTTGTCGAAGAAGCATGTATCGTTTAACCTGAAACTAAAGAAAATATCGGCAAATAATATTAGTAAACTAAATATGCATGATTTCAATCAATGACCTTCTGCCACCTTTCTTGCAATTAACTTAACGCCATAAAGGGACTCCTACAGAAACCGAAACAGATAATCGTCTAATGGTGGAAGGTCCTAAATAAACAACAGAAGCCCGAATCAATCGTTTTTGTCAGGTGGCAATGTACGACTCCCTTCCCATCCCATGAAGCACATAGAATCACCCTCTTTGTTTGTGGGAATTTGGGCTTTTGTCCAGATTGTGAGGCATATTGTTTTCTATCGTTTGCATACTATTACCCTATGTAGTCCGCTTTTCAGAATAAACACGACAACCCTATCTTTGGGTTGATCATAAACAGCACACACTTTTTATAGGACCTAGTAGCGTCTGTGCCATACAGTTGTAAAATGTAGTGAATCGCTGTAGAAATTTCAATGATTCTTAAAGCGTCCTACCTTGAGTAAAGGCTATCGCCGCAAATATGTAACTTTAAAACCATCTGGCTAGAAAAACGGTCAATATTTTTTCGACAACCTGATATATAGTGACCGTTATTTTCTCTGTTGATACACTATACGATCCAATAAACTTTCCAGCGATAGCGTTAATTTTGTTTGTTCTTGCTGCTGTTGTTAACACGGGAAAACAGGCGACACTTCTCGTGCAGTTTATGCAGTGTGTTCTAAATAGAAATATGTGATGACTTATGATATTAGCACATGACCTTGTTTACGACGCGACTTCGCCATTATTGAGACTAGTTTATGTCGCAGGGTAACTAGTTTTTTTCTGTCTGCGCCTTTTAACATTGTACACTTTCAGTCCTTTATTCTCGCTGCTTCATTCCCCTCGTAATGAGCCTACTAGCAGACGACTGTCAGTTGTCGACAACATCAACGTATAATCCAGGAGCTTACTCTACTAGAACCGAAGGCGAGCATTTCGCTTATCTCTTTATTTATTCTTTATTACACGTTTTCGCTATGCTGCTTAATTGCGATCAAACACAGCGCCTGACTTCGATCGGCCTCATCTCGTGTCCGAAAGGCAGTCGTTGAATTGTGGTGAATCCATTACAATGAATTAGTTTTAGCCGTATGCCTAATCTGCAGTGGTTAATTTAAAGGCTACATAAAAGATTCATTTAAATATACCCCACATTCAAATATATTTCAGACTGCTGAAATTGACAAGCTTATGATTTGAGTCGGCCTGCTTTATGTTCGACGATTTGCTAAAAATTTAAAAACGAAACGGTCTGTTTCCCGTTGGAACGCACAGAGAACATGTCTGTTGTCTCTGTAAATTCAGACTAAGAATCCCAGAGTTCCAGGAAACTACGCGACTTGGCTGGCTACTAAAGTGTATCACTTCGAAGTGATTCTTGAACCGAGCAAGTGTTATTTTATTTGCTAAGATGCTGCCTCCTGTTTTTCTATGATAGATCAGTCTCCTTGTTATTCTCTTGTCATCCTCCACCTTCTCGACTATCGAGATTTGCCCTGATCCACCTGCTGACTTGGATGGGATCTTAGGGTCTACGACGGCCGGACAAAGTTCTCATTTTTTCCTTCAATCGCTTTCGTTGCAGAGCTCTTTTTTTTATTATAGGCATTTTACAACATCACTGCAAGGAACATCGGTGATCGTACTTAAGAAGTAAG